ATATTTGAATTAAAAATAGAGTAAAGAAAAAATAATTTAGGAGTAAAATATACAATAATATAAATTACAAATAAATGCATTAATAAACATATGGATATAAATTAACAGTATTAATAAAAAATCTATTAAATTATTATGCATTAAAATTATAATATCATATAATTTAGCATATATATAAATATGTAAATATTAATATTGAAAATGTTTTCAATTGAAATATTAATAAAAGTAGTAATAAAAGCAAAAAATTAAAAAAAAAGTTTYATTACTTAATTATTTAAATTTTTCAAATATTGTATTTTTGAGTATAAAAACTAAAAATATATACTCCAATAATGTACTTGTAATGTATTTATTATTATTAGTATTTTATAATATAGTATTATGATGTATAGTAAAAGTAATAATTTAATAATAGTTAAAATATGTCACAGCATACTAAATAATTTTTACAGTAGTCTACTTCTATAGACAAGAAATAATATAATCAATAATATTGAATCTAATAAATTGTAAATAACAGTATACTCTATATATAATATAATTTATATATTTCAAAATTATAATAACATTCAACAACATTGTCGACAATTGAATCATTAAAATTTATGAGTAGATATTGTAAATTCAAAAACTGTGTCATTTTTTAAGACACTTTTAGTAGAAACTTATAAATATTAAATGTTTTGTGGGACCGGAGGCTCTCTCCTCTAGAGTTATTACATCAAAAAATAAAAGTACTGATAGTTATTGATATCATATTAGAAATGAGTGACAAATAACACAACATATTGTATAATATAATGTATAGTTTGATTGAGTGGGAGAGTGGGGGTAAAAGCGAAAGGACGACCTTTCAATATATTCTGTTATAACTTATAAGTAAACAAAAACTTTATTTTATCTTAAAATACACTTTAAAAAAGTTTTTTCTTTTTTAAATATTAAATAGTTATTAAAATTTACTTAAAAGTTTACAAAATAAGAATTGACAATAAAATTATAATTTAATATATTTTATATTAATATTTACAAACAATTAAAATCTGAGTTACAATTGCTAATTCATTAGTATTTCAAATTATTTAAATTAAATTTAATATATTAATCTTCATTAAATATTTAAACTTTGTTTTACTGTTATCGGCACTGATCTCAATTATAATATTATACCTACAATAAGTATAGTTATATAAAATTAATTAGTTAATTAACAAAATTAAGATTAATTATTTTATAAAATTGTATATTCAGAGTATTTCATAAATGTCAACAATATAAATTTCAAAATTATCTTCAATACAATTGTCCATGGTGATTAAATATATTGTCATTTTAATTAAACTTAATATTTTTTGGAGTTTCTAATAAAACTAATATAATTAATACTAATTTAGTATTTACTATTGAATTACTATAAAAATGTATTAAAATAGTGTAGTTTATGTTTTATTTACATTAATGATAATCATAAAAAATTATTTTAATTCTTATTTATTATTAAAATATTTATCTAAAGTTTTTAGCAATTTTTAAATAATAATAATTTCTTTCTTTAGTTTCTTTACTATCATAAATAACTAAAATTATAATCATTGACTAAATATAAATAAACACAATCGTAATGTTGTTTTAAGTTAGATTAACATTTATKAATAAGACATACACTGACACTATTGACAACCCCAACCCCTACACATATGTATGACACCCACATAATACATATCCTCTTWCATATTAAATTTCAAATCACTATAGGTTTGATATAAATATCAATAGTTTTGTGTGTTTATGAATCTGTAAATTAGAGATCAAAACAAATCGGATAACTGAGCGCACAATAAGTATAATTTATTAAATAAAAGGAAACATTAATACAATATTAATAAATAAAAAAAGATAACAAAATAATCAGTTAGTATTGTAAACATATTTATTAAATACAATTTATTTATTTATGTAGGTTTTAGTTTATGTTATTGAATTAATACTACTTCAAAATATATGAAATTGATAAATTTTATAAAAATATTAATAAAACTTAATAATAATAATTGTTATATAAAGTTGAATAATGTAATTTTTATTCAATTTCACATTTAATGAAAATCATTGTATAAATATTAATATTGTTAAATAAATAACAATTTTTTCTTAAAAATCAATGTAAACATAAGATATATTTATGTATATTTTTTTGTTATTAATTTAATATAATTAACAAAATAATAAGACAATACAATTCACAAATGAAACTATAAACTTACTTTAATTTAATTGTATAATTAATTGACGTCCCAAAAATAGATGCATTTGTTATTTAATTATTAAACTGGTTTTAATTTAGTTTTGTTCGYATCATTGATGACTTTAATCACATTATATAATAAAATAACTAAACATTAAGTATTACTTTCTATTACTTTCTTTATATAAAATGATTTAATTTAATTATTTTATAAGAAGTTTTCTGCTTTTTTGTTGACTAATGTTTAGCAAAGTATTCATTTGTAACATTGATTTTTACATTTAATTAGTTTTAACTATAATATCCCATTTTAGCTCTTATTTTGTGATATTTTTATTCAAATTACATATAAAGTATTATTATATTCATATATATTTTTATATTTAATTATAGGTTATATTTTTAAAATAAATGTATTAAATTAAAATTTAATCTTTATTTAAATATTTTGCTAAAAATAATATAATGTAAACAGATAACATTAAATATAAAACTACAAAATAAAATTATATTATAAAATTTTATATTATAATTTATTTTTAAAATATAAATACTTAATATTATTTTAATAAAAACTAATCTAAAATATACAATTTTTTTAGCTTAGTGCTAATGAAATAAAATTTTAATTTTTTTTGTGTTTATTGTGATTTTCTCATGATATAATTTATACTAGTTTTTGTAACTTAAATTTTCACATAAAATCTTTATTTATCAGACATTATAATAGTAATTAAATTTATTAATTCATAAATTATAAATTTAATCTATTTAAAACACTCTAAATTAAGTTTTATAAAATTAATTTTTATATTATATAATATTATATAATACTAATTACTATTATATATTTATATTTAGTATAATATACAGTATTTTATATTTATAATAGTTTACTTTACTTCAATAATTTAGTTTTTTATTAGAAAATATAAAAATAACTGAATTATATTTTAAAATAACATTTTTTAAATGTGAACAAAATATATAAAATATTATATTCTTTAATTGAGTACTCATTTTATATTATTAAACAGTATATATAAAATAGAGAACTGATTTTAAGGCTTAGTGTACTATTCATTGGCGTATTTTATTTAAATTAAAGTCAAATTATTATTTATTGAATAGTTTTGTTTTACAGAAAACATAATTATTAAACAATTACATATTATTATAGTAGATATATCTATATATTTTTAGTTAATCTTCAATAAACCATGTTTAAACTAGATTTGCAAAATTTACAGTTTATTTATTAAATTTATAAGTTTAAACATTATTTAAATAAAAATATAAAACATAACCAACAATCTTCTAGAAATTGTCTAGTTTTTATATTATATTAATTAGTATTTATATATTATATTATTTAGTAAATGTAAAATTTCATAAATCATATTAATTTTTATTTTGACAAAAATAGTATAAAACTTATTAATTTTATCAATTTTAATAAAATAACAAATTTTGTTAAAGAAAAAACCAATTTTCAAAAAAATAATATATGTGGAAATTACAGTATATTGAAATATCTTTCAAAACATTTTAAAAATTGTATATTAAAAATTTTGTTGTTGTTGTCGTCGTCTAACTATACTTATGTGTATTTTTTGATATAATTGTAATACATGGCTATAGACGAGTCTCAATTACTTATATTTGTAGATAAATAAATACTGTGTTGTACAGTATATACTGTATATATTGGTGAGTCTACAAATGACTTAAGCGATTATGACCCTAACTGTACATCAGATCATCAGATATTACATGTAACTCAAACTTACATTTATATTATTATTATTATTATTATTATACACTAAAGTATACAGTGATACACACTGTATTAAATACAATACATTACTATACAGTATAAGTAATATTATAAAAAATAATATATTCTTTATATTTTCTTCCGACTCTCAAAGCTATCATAAAATTTTTAACTTAATTTGTATTTATATATACTTTGCATTATATGTTATGAAATATAGTCTAAAACTACTATATCTGATGATATTAAATAAGTTTTCACACAACTACTTTTTCAAAGATAGTCAAGAAAATAATATTAAACTTTATCTTTTAAAAAAATTATTTGTAAAATTAACGTCAAAAATAATTATAATAAAATGAAACATATTGAAAACTTTTTAAATATTATAAGTATTAAGAATATTATTAATTACTGTCCATAAAATATTTAATTTACTCAAGTGTTTGAAAATATATTCAACTTATGTAATTAATTTAGCATAAATAATTAAAATATATAAAGTTCATCAATAGTATTACGTATATTAAAATATAGTTATTTTCATAATAATATTTTATGTTAGAATAGATATACTTCAGATTGTTTTATTTAACGTCAAATCAATTTCAATTCATAAACATTATACTTAAAATCTATTATATAAGTATTGAAGTGACAATTAAAATTTTATTTTAATTAATAAATTAATACACTATATAGTGTACTTGTATAATAATATAATGAATTTAAATATATAATTATAGTTATACAATTACTGTACAATCTTTTAGTTATATATATATATATCATAAAATTATATTTGTAAATTTATTTATTTTGTTTAATTATTTATTTTAGGTATTAACGCTATTGATTTATATTTATAGAAAAAATTGTTTGTTTTTATCAAAAAAGGCATTGAAAATAATGAATAATAAATACTAAAGAAATACAAACACAGAAAAAATCGTTTAATAGTTTGCTATGACTTACCCTCGCGTTTAACATTTGCCAAATTTCGGTGCAAAACATGAGAAAAGTCGATAAGATATGCGCCTCGGGTCAGACCAAACAAGACAAATACAATAACATTGACGTGTGAGGCCCGGAGCAACATTTTCATTGCTGTAATAACTGTTATTTTCTTTTAAATATTTACTTAAATATATATATATATATATATATCAACCGGTAAAACAAATTTAAAATTTGCCAATGATTTAGATCTTATATATATTAAAATAAGACTTTTTCTTAAAAAAAGTTTCACTTAACTTGAGATTCTTAACAGAATATTCTTTACTCGACAATTCAAAACTGGGTTTTATTATAATATTTTGTTTGTTGATTATATAACTTTTACCTATTATTATATAAACGACTGCTATAGAAGTGTATATATATATATATATATATAAATAACTTATGATATGTCTCTGTGCTAACAAAAAACACTATAATAGCGATACAAGATATAGCTTTTTGTATGTGACTTATTCTGATAACTATTTTCAATGATATGTGAGATATATATGTGTTTGTATGCAGTGGTAAGGTCTGAATGTTTAGCGCAAACCCCGAATAAAAATTTACTGCAACATCTCATAACAGGTCTGTGCTATGAAATTGGGAGCACTGGTAGTGTCGGTAAGTCTAAGACAGCGCACATGTGCACCGATACAACACATACAGTGTAATACTGTTGATGCCAATGGCATACAATTACAATGTCAATGGTATTGATATACAACATACAAGTAATAGCAATGAAAGTTTATCTTCTCATTTAATCTATATCTATAATCTCACTTATAAGCGGCTCAACGCCTACATTGTCTAACAATTTTCATACAATACAAGCAAATCGGATCCCATTGTGTAATGAAGGGTTGGACACCTGATTTGTGGCCAAACTATTTAGTTTTACTTAATCACGTACTCTAACAACACTTCAATGGATTCGTTAGTTAATTGAATAAAAGAAATAATCAAAACAATTGAACGCTTTGTTACTCTTTAAATGTAATGCAAGAATCAGTATTATTATTAACGGGACTCAAGACATACATTGATTGCAAACAAACAAAAAGTCTTTTTCCGAAACATTGTTTTTAGAGTAAAACTCAATATCCGTTCATTTAGTTAAAGACTTTTAATTCATTAGTATTTATTTGTTATAATACAAGTGTTGTACAATTTATTGGTTTTTACGTCGTGTGTGTGTCTGTATAAATATACAGATATATATATATATATGTATGTATGTATGTWTGTGTGTGTGTGTGTGTGTGTGTGTGTGTGTGTGTGTGTGTGTGTGTGTGTGTGTGTGTGTGTGTGTGTGTGTGTGTGTGTGTGTGTGTGTGTGTGTGTGTGTGTGTGTGTGTGTGTGTGTGTGTGTGTGTGTGTGTGTGTGTGTGTGTGTGTGTGTAWGTAAGTAAGTAAGTAAGTGTATGTGATTATTACAACGGTTGTGTTTTTTATTAGCCATAGAAATGAAATAAAGCAAATAAAATTAGACAACAAAACAAAGTGAATTTATTGTTACAATTATTTTCTATTATTATAATATAAGCATTCAATATAAACTTATACTTGATTTTATAAATTAATACCAAAAATATACTTTGTATGCAATAATGTCATTAATTATTCTTGTGGTATATATATATATAATTATACATATATTGATATTCTGGGAAATATTATTTTAATGAATATATATTAAAGTCAATTCCCAAAATTAAAAGTAATTTACTTTTGCTTAATTATTCATTTACAATAATCAATAGACATTGGATTTTCAAAATTATTTTATGAATTTAATAACAATTTACTATTTTATCTTAGCAACATGTTTCTTTTTTAATTTTATTATAAAATTCTGAAAACTTAAATTAAAAAAATTATTTCATATCAAATTACAGTACATAATAATAAAAATGTTAAAATTTTACATACAATTGATATCAGTTTATTTGTATTTGTGTTAAATTAGATCTGTTGTCAACTGATATCAATTATTATAATTAAAAATCATAGTTTTCCTATCAAATACAAAGAGATTTTTATGATAATAAACTTAAATGTTTATTATGATTTATAATAGTTGATGAAGTAAACAATTAAGATACTGTAAATATATTGTAATAATTGCTGGAAAATAATGAATGAGATAAACCATCAAAAATGCTATTATTATTATTATTATTATATATATATATAAACAAAAATGATTTGACTGTTGATTTAGAATTAATGTTATTTTTGCTAAATTTCTTTCAGCTAATTATAAGTACAAGCATTACATAGATGTTTGGCCAACGGTTACAATCAATTAATGATTACAATGTAATGCACTTTATTTGATGAGATTTAATAACATTTTGACGGTTATCCTACAATTTATTATTGTTTTTTACTCTAACTTTACATAACTATCTATTCAAACATTTTATCTATGATTTCCTATTCATTAATAATAATATTGATTTTAATCAACTAAATCAAAACATTTTTATGATAAACACTTCATCAACTTATATATTGTGCGACAAATAACTCAATATTTCTGTTGAGTAAATAAAAAATAAAATTTATTTGCAAAATACAAAATCAATCATTAAATGTATTTACCTTTATATTTGACTAAAATCATAATATATATATATAAAAATAAATTGTAACTGAAATTTATATCATATTCATAAAAAACAAAAAGGAAATTGTTTCAACTTTATTATTTATAAAGTAGTTTAATGTAAGACAACTTTGTAAAAATAACTAAATTAAATTTCATAACATTTTTAGGGTGTTATATAATAATTATAATAATAATTAATATTATTATAGAAGTATAACATTAGCTAATCTTTTTTCATATAAAGTAATTTTTTTATAATAAATTTTACAGCAAATTAGTAATATGTTTTAAAAATTTATACTTACATTATCTGATAAATTAAAAAAACCAAAAAAGACGTAAAGAAAAAACAAAACAAAAATATCTTTTGTTACAAATTGAAACGTGAGTTAAAAATTAATAYGAAAAAAATATACTGTTATTTAGTTATAAATTTACATTATATAAGAAAAGTATTTACATTATTACATTTTAGTATAGAAATAATAATAAAAATAACTTATAACTGTAATGTAGAATCTCAAGGTTCTAGAAATATATTTTATTATTAATATAATACAATTGATTAACATTATCAACATTTATATTCATTTAATAACATTATTAACATAAATTAATATATTATATATTTAGTCAAAAATAGTAATGTATTGCATGATCGTTGCTTTTTTTAAAACACTTTTATGGTTTATAGTTTTATTAAATTATAAGGCTTATATCTTAATATTTAATTTTTTAATTAAATTAATGTATATACTTTATTATATATATCATCAAAATGGTAGTTCTTAAAATTTTTATAATATTTTATCTTAACTTTTAATTTATTATTCAATTTATAAAATATTATTTTTTACTATAAGAATCATTATTACGTAACTATTTTTCAAAATACATAACTACAGTATGTGAAATAAAATTTATCAAAAATTTATATCATATAATATTACTTTTTTTAGTATAAATTATAGATTATATACTATAAATAAAAAAGAAATATATATATATATATTGTATTAAAACAATGCGATACAAAAACATTAAAAAAAGACCAGTAATGTTGTTATTATTAATGACTTATTGAAGGGACGCCTACAATATGGTCCTTCAAAGCATATAAATATATGAATACAATTTGTTTAATAAGTTTTTTAGATGATTTCCTTTTTCTAGTAAAAATCCATTAAAATTATTAAAATAATTATTGTCCATAAAATATTTGTCATAACATTTTGTTAACAACTATATACTATATATTTATATTTGCAAAATTTATTACTTTTCTGATTTGTAACTATTAGTAATGCAATTTAATTTGTAATTGATTGAAATATCACAATATTCACAATTTATATAATAATAATAACAATATTAATATTGTAATAACAATAGCAATAACTCTTCATACACTTTATTATTTGATTATTAGAGGTAATAATTGAGATTATTATAGGCCGACATTTTCAATATAATTTATTATCACTGAAACTTTTTTAATTATCTAATATTATATATCATTTACTTCATATATGTGATACTTATAATGAAAGATAAATATTATAGATAAGAATGAATAGTCATATATGTATTATACTGTATAATATGTAATCACAAAAACAATTTTGATGTCTTAAAATCACACTTTCTTAATAATAATATCTTATTATATGATATGATATAAGATTTGATGAGAGAAATGGTGAGACAATTCGTGACGATTAAGAGTTTCACTGATTTTTTTTTGTTTTGTTTTTATCACCACTTTTATTATCTTATATTATTATTATTATATTATTCATTTATTTTTGTTTTTGTTATAACCTTTGCTGTAAGTTTTTTTTCTGTGGGTGAACATCAATATTGTATAAAAATACAAAATTATTATTACAGCTATACTATTATGAAAGAATATACAACAATACGTATACACACAGTATATGTTAAACACTACCAGTTATGTGCATTTTTAATGCTATTTGTATTAAAAAGATTTTTAAAATTTATTTATACATACAATATATACAGTATATAAAGTTTATTTATGAATACTAAGTTATATAAGAATATTGAGTATACTTGTATTTTACTTGTATATACTATTAATATGTATACTATATAATACACTATAAATACCATATATATTATATGTCACATACAGTATAATGTGTGTGTATTTCTTATTCATATACAGTATATACAGAATATGTATAAACAGTACATATAGTAAAATATATTATATTTTAGTATAATATTATACTTTAGCGTCAATTGTCATGCATTTTAATCCTGTATAGAAATATTTCATACTTAACACACACACACACATAATATGTTTATATTAATATAAAAACCAATTCTTTAAATATTTATTATAATATTGACAACACAGTTAACGAGACAAAAGAAATGTTTAAATTTGTAATAATTAAAATAAACTATTTATCTATAATACAAATACTCAATAATTTAATAATATTTTTATACGAAATATATATTATTAAAACTATAAAAATAAATA